AGTCTGTGGATGTTTTAACGTGGCTACTATCCCTTAACTTCAGCAGTTTATTGTTTTAGTTATGTGCAAAGATAAAATTTTTTGTGAGCAGAAATATGGCTATTAACCCTCTTGGGCAAAGAACATCCAAAAATACAACTTGGATGTTTTGAAACCTATTTTCTCAAATAAATGCTTTTTCTTCTTTTTTTTTATGCCAAATGCTGTTCTCAAGCACTACTAATCATATTATTTTATATGTTTTATGTACTGGAACTACCACCATAATAAGAATTCAGACAGTGAGTTAAACATGGTCCACCTCCACCTAGAACTACATTTATTATATTACCAGGAATAAAAGAATGTCATGTATTATCAAGAATTAGATGTGTTCCCTATTTACTATTTTTCTTGTGTACTTCAGACAGACGTGTATCCTTAATTCAGGTCAAGTGACTTACATTTATTTAGAAGTTTGTATTTACTCCATGTTTATTTTTTCCAGACTTTGAATTTCTCATGGAGAAGAGAAGTTTGCAAATTAAATTTTGTGGAAACTCTGCTGAAAGTGACAGAAACTAGAAAGCTTTTTTAGTTACCTTAACATTCTTGGAAAATCAGCAAATGTGGTTTTTGTAATTCAGTGATTAAATTTCTAAAAATAAAATATTGCTCTCTTTATTACATGAAGGACTGAACTAATATTCAAGTAGAATTTGTGGACAACTGTCAAAAACTATCCTCTTAATGATCTGACTAGTAGTAATCAGATTAAAGTTGCAACTTTTTCTGAGTGGGAATAATAATAAACACACTTGGTTGGTTAGTCTGAAGCACTTAATTTAGTTTTAAATCTTATAGGACCATTCTCTTGATTGTGATGTTCAAGGGACATGAAATATTTGAAAAATTAGTTCTATCACATCTTTTCTCAGCTTATTTTGTTAAAAAAAAATGATTATATCTGCAGCAAAGTTACCCTTTATTTATTGTACTATGTTTATTTGAAAAACTACATTTATATGAACAGATATTTTTGTGATGATATTTGTATAATAAAATGAGTGTTTTGTAGAAAAAAGTTGACGAAAAGTGTTTTGCAGCTTATTTTGAATAACAGCCATTTCTCAAGCGTTTCTTAACTTTTAGAGTTTATATAGATACATTCTTATGGAAGTCAAACATTTTATTACAAATTATAGCTACCAGGATGCGTATCGGTAACATATTTTAAATTATAAACCACGTTCTGCATATGGAGGAAAGTTATAAAAGGTTTTATGCCATTTTTGTTTGTTTGGTATTTGCGAGAAGATATAAATTTTAAATAAAAATGTACTTACAAAAGTAAAACATACGAGTTGTCAATGTTCGTATGTAGGCAGTAAAAGTAATTTTTATTTTGTGAGATGAGAGTGTATTTAGGACTGTAAATAAGATCAAGCTCTAATACAGAACAGAGTTGTAAAATAAAACTCGTTATACGAAATACTTCCACATATCTTCTTTAAGGCTTCACACTTACTCGCTTGGGAACACAGAAAATTCCGGGGATTTCACATTCATTTTAAATCTTGGAGAATAGTTAGAAATGAAAAAAGCCAATGTGAAAAATTCTGAATCGCAGTTGTTCAGGCACATGTTTAATAATTTTAGTATCCAAGTGTTGATTATAATATTCACATTTATCTTTCGCAAAACACAATAACCGTTATCTCTTTACACTCGTGATCGCGTATAAGTGGCTGAAGTTTTTGTTATTTTCTTGGGAACGGTCAGAGATAATATTTTAGAAAGCTGGAACTCTCATTTTAAAGATATTTTCTAGGGCTCGTCACAACATTTTCTTTTTACAAAAATGATGCAAAAGAACGCAGGGACTTTCCAAACCTAAAAACGACTCGTAGCACCGTAAATTGTACATATTTATATAATCAAGAATAATACACGATAATTAAGACAATATAGCTTTAATTTACGTACAGTAAATCAATTTGATAAGAGTCCACGCGACGTGACGAGAAGGAATAAGAAAATTACCTTTCTGGCTTGCATTAATTTAGCCACTTTGAAAACAGGCATGAGAGTAATTTCAAAAATGCTAGTGTGTTTTGATTATTTCCCGTAGCGTTGTGCATAGCTATAGTTGTAAGGACCTTCTAGTTTAATCGGTTTTAAAAGAATTATGCTGAACGCTATGCAGAACGTGACCTGTACAACTTAATTCCCTAAAGCATAATTCGTCTAAGTAAACTTTTTAAACAGCGTCACGATACAAATTTTACTGTAGGTTGCAAAATTAAGTTTAATGTAAACGCTGTAAAGAAAACGGTAAAAGCAGATTTTTTAAAGAAACGTATCTTCAAACAAGAGCATAATTTCGACTAACACTACTTGCTTGACGGAATATTATTAGTAAAATTACGGTTTGTTACTTTTTACTTATTGATGTAGTAAAATGTACATAGTCAATTTTGACATGGTATTAAAAATTACTGAAATAAAATGGTCAAGGTTTGACTGAAAATATGGTAGCAAACAAACGAGTCACACAACTAAGTTTAATTCTAAGCAATGGTTGTTAATCCTAGAGATTACTAAACATATAGGTAAAGCAGAATATTAACGTTTTCTACACGTTACAAAGATCAGAAGAACAATTTATAGCAGCGCCACCTTGGTAAAATAGTTGTTTATCGAACCATAGTTATAAGATATCAAGATTACCGTTGAGCGATTCCCTTCTGGGGGATATTTGAAAATTGAAGTGAATACGTTGGTATGTAATACTATTATGAATCTGTACATAAAATTAAATATTCAATAGGAGTAAACCAAATCCCCAAACACGTTTCCGAGAGATACTGGTAATCATTAAATGTATATGAAATAAATATAAGTGCATTCTTTTCGTTCCAAATTGAATTAACAAAGAATTAAAGCGAGTTAAACGTTTTAAAAGTCCAGTGATTAGCGTGATAGATTATGGACCTGAGTTTTCGTGCTTAGCATTCTGTTACCATAAAAAATAAAAAAAAAGGTCCTCCGCACTTTTTGGTCATGGGAGCGTTATAAGAGGAGCAGCCAAATCTGATTATTTGGTCTAACAAGAGTTGCCTTCCCTCTAGTCTCACTTCAAAAGTAGGGACTGATAACCCTTCTGTATCTTGCGTGAAATTAAACACAAACAATAACAACAATAAAAACCGTTTTAAAACTAATAGATATTTTGATTGTCTAATGTATAATTATTTGCAAAAAAAAATAACTTTTGTTATTATTACTAGCACACAATACCACGCTCCACCGCGGGATTCAAAGGTCCCCTCATGATACACAAAAGCTGTTGTTGTTATCTGAAGTTAAGCAAAAAGCTATACAATGGGCTATCTGTGCTTTGCCCACCACGGGTATCGAAACCCGGATTCTAGCGTTGTAAGTCCGCAGACATACCGCTGTGCCACTGGGGGGTGGGGTGGGGGGTGGGCTACAGAACAAGTGAAAATAACTTCAAAATAACTTTCAATATCAGACGCTAACCACTAGGCCATGCGCGGTCCTGCCGCATATGTAATAAGAAATTTGTTTTTGAATTTTGCAATAATGAAGTAAGAACGAGTCTGACACATTTCGAATTCGAATTTATAATTTTGTTTAGGCATAAACGTAAGGCTTACTATAGTCTATTTAGAAAATATAAACGAATAATGTTTGTAATAATGTTCATTTAATTGATTTATGGTAACTAAATATAATAAGAATAAATATATATATATATGTGAGTCTAATTAGCCTCCTGTGATTTGGTTAGGTGATCGTAAATCAATCCACTAATTGCTTGACCACAACAACACAAAGTACTGTGAAGTTTCACACTAATAGTTAAAAAGCCTTATGAGTGAAGGGAGACGGGAACGGCTTGTACTCTTGAATTTCCCTTACTTTGTCGAAACAGAAAATGGAACTAACAAATTTGCTGATTGAATAATCAAAACCATCTACTCTAGATTACTTCACGTTTTATATTGGTCAAATCGTTTTCTAGACATACAAGAAGGCTCTAATCATTAAGCAACCCCCTCTCCAGTGACACATAGGTATGTCTATGGATTTACAGGGCTGGAAACCAGTTCTCGATACTCGTGGTGGGCTAAGCAAAGATAGCTTTGTGCTTAATTACAAACAAACTAGTCATT